TGATAATAATAAATTAACTTTATTGATTTCACACTGGAGAAATTCACTTTCTGCACTTAACCCACCCTTTGGGGAGCAGTGTGGGGTTAAGGGTCTTGCTCAGGGACCCAGAGTGGAGACGGTTAAGCAGAGAAGCTGCAGCTTCAGTCCTCAGTCGGTCGGTCGTCCTCAGCAGCAGCAGAACCTTCAGCCGCTCCCAGTTCCTGATCATTTCACCTGCTGCTGAAACGCTGCAGGCAGCCATTGTTGCATGCATCGTCTCCTCTGCCTCTTTGTGCTGCGTTTCTGCCTCGCTGTGATAAAGACGGATGCTCAGTGACCCTGTGTGTTTACTTTCAGACCTCTTCAGCCTGTTTGCCAGCGATCTGGGTGGATACGCTGCCAGGGAAGATATCGAGGCAGTCTTGCAGGTCCTGGATGGAGAAGTCCCCTCCTCGCTGAAGAAGTGCTTCATAGAGGTCTGTAAACAGAGCACAGCTCTCCATCCGCACCGTCACAATGCACAGTTCCTGCAGCTGTTGCTTGTAAAGAAATGAGTCCAGATATTCAGAGAAGCTGCTGCAGTTAGCGGCTTCATCTGCCTCCAGAGGTTCAGTAGTCCATGAAGGTCATACGTGAGAAGGAACAGAAAGATGTCATGTATGGAGGATCCCAAACAGCCCATATTTTCTTCTGAAGCAACATTCTGAGCTCTTATTTCTTTATCTGAAATAAGAGTCAATCCTACCCTGAACTGTGTTTAACCTCCACTATAGAGCAGAGGTCTGCAACCCTACATATCCAAAGTGCCATTTTGCCCAGATTCCGGCTAAGTAAAAGTCATTTAGAGTCGCAAAATAGGACTTTTTAATTTAAAACAATCTATTATTTTTGTTAAATATCTTCCATATGAAATCTGTTGCCATCTGAAACAATTAACATTTGATTAGCTTCCAGATTAGATTCATTATGATGAGATTCATTATGATGAGATTCATTATGATGAGATTCATTATTATGAGCATAGATTTTCTTCAATAGGATATGATGATAATAAAAACATAATTTTCAAGCTAATTAAAAGAAACATTTAATTTAATGTCATTCTGTTGTGAAATTCAATTTAGATATTCTTTATGAAAAAAGATTCTTGTTTTTGGTCACTATTAAGAGCCATTGAGGGTCTAAAGCGCGGCATGGGGCCCCGGGGCCCTGCTGTAGTGATCAAAGCGGAAGTTCCTGAGTTTCAGCCGATGATGCCTCCTCTGATAACGATCCATCGTCAGACAGAGCCCTGTTCTCTCACTGGTGCAACCAGAGAATGTGACCTGAAGCTCCCTCTGATGATCTGACCCATGAAGCCTGTAGAGGAGTAAATACATCAATTCATTTTTAAACGTGTGTAATGCGCCTTTAATAGCTCCCACTGTTCTCTCCTGATTGGGTCACATGCTTGATGTTTTGTCATCAGGAGACGATGTAACACGAGACTTTACTACAAACAGAAACTAAAGCAGTTTGAGCTACGGTTGGAAAAATCTTGGTTTGTTTCAAAATAAAAGCTCCTTCTTGGAAAGCAAAGCTTACATCCTGTCAGATTACTGAAGGGAGGCAACAGATTCTAGCTGCAG